GAACCTGTACGTGTACGTGTTGGATTGCTCGTGGTAGTATGCTGCGTAGTGCCATCTGTCGTCCTCGTAGCCGTCTGTGTTCGTGTCGTTGGCGTAGTAGAGTACGCTGTCCAACCACTAGGACAGCGCATGTCGTGGTATTGTTGGGTTTGAGTGACGTGAGGTAGAACTCGTGTGTGTCTGATGTTCCGTTCATCTTTGCCCAGGGCTCGTGTTCGTCGATGTTTTCGTCGGAGTCTGTGAGGCCTGTCGCTGGCTGTTGTTTGTGTCGGCGGTGTTGGTGTCTTGGCAGGTGGTGGTGGTGTGTGTTCGTGGCTGGTGTCGGTCCTTCTCTTGTCGCGTTTGCCCTTTTTGTTCTTGAAGGTAAGGTTGGAAATGAGCTGCTCTGGTGGTAGCATTTTCGTGTGTCCACTGCATTTGTGTCGCTCCTTTTCCAAGTGGTCGTAGCAGCCTTTTCTCGATGTCGCATCTCTCGGAAAGCTGCTGTTGTACGAAGCCGTAGTGCGTGCCTTCTGGAGGAGTGTCGGTCGGGAACTTGAAGCCTCCTTTTGTAGTGATGGCCTTGGGCCGTTTGAAGGTGACTTGTGGTCCATGTGGGTGTGGTAGGACCATAGAGGGCTGCGGTTGAATGTATGTTGGGTTGTTGTCGGCGCGCATGGTGCGGTTGCTGGGGTGTAAGACCGTGATGGGTGTGGGTGCGAGGTAGTCTGTTGTTCGTGGCCATCTTGGGTTGTCCACTGTAGGTGCTTGGGGCTCGTAGTGTGTAGGTGGCATTGGTCCTTGGTAATGGTCTGGTTTGATACGTGCTGTACCCGACCATTGGTTGAGTAGGTCGCACTCATATTGGGAGGACTCTTCGAGCTCGATGTAGTCTGGTTGTTGGTGGCTGACTGGAGGCGTGATGTGCCTTCTGTGCTTGTCGATTATGCATGTGGCCCATGGTGGGTGGAGGGCTGATGCGCCTGAAGTCGGTAGTGAGTCTGCTAGGCAGTTGGCAAGCGAGAGTAGCTCCGATCCCATGGTGACATTGTGGTTGAAGTCGGTCATGGTGCTGAAGAAGGTGTGCTGCTCGTAGTCGGGATCTGCGTAGTTGATCTTGGTATGGATGGCGCAGTCTTCTTCCATCTGGAGTTCGTACCTTTTTGGAGCTTTGTTGGTTGTAGGTGTTGTACAAGGTCTCCTTGAGGCTCTTCTCCGTGCCGTCCTGATTGTAGTAGGTGTATATGAGTCGTATTATGTTGTGGTCGATGTCGTCGTTGAGCTCTGACCACGTCATGTAGATGAGTGGAACTCTTCTTGGGTGACGTGGTGGTTCCTCGTCGATGAGGTCTTGTTGTCTGGTCTGTGGTCGGCTTTCCTGAGAGTGGGATCTGCGCAGGCCGCTGTGACCAGTGTGCCTCGACGTTTGTGCGGGAGCTGTAGTATTTCCAGCCATTGAGGGCAGTCTGTAACCTTCTCTTGGAATAGGAAGAAGTCCTCCCTGTTGGTGTCGGGTATTGGTGTCGGGTAGGTCGGCAATTGTGATGTGCGTCTCCCTCTTGGCCTTGGCACAGCCCTTCTTGGTGGGCACCAGTATGTACTTGTTGCCCAGGTGCAGGGAGATGTAGACGTAGTACTTGTCGATGCTGTCCTCGGTGATCGTATCCTGCTTGTCTACCTTGACCTGCGCAGGTAATGCTTGTGCGTTGTCGGGGTCAAAGCTCGTGGGCGTGGCCGTGCGGAGTAGGTCTTCTCTTTGTGATTTACTGCGCGTCTTGAGTAGCGGTGGTCGGATGCCGATGCCTCCGTCGCTGCTTTGTCTGTGCTGTCATGCGATCATGAGCTTGCTCTCCTTCGTAACCACGTTGTCTGACTTGAGCGAGCATGTCATATGTATACCTACGTAAGGGAGGTATGCACATCTCGCGGGTGTAGCCCACCGGTCCACATGTACTGCCAATGCTTCCTTGCTGGCAGGACTGTATGGGGCCGTTGGTAGCATGGCGCCGAGTATGCAAGTGAAAGCAAGCATTTCGGCGACTGAAGTTCGAGCCTGGTGGTTACGGACAGACTGTCTGGTAGGGATGCAGGTCCTCCTCCCCCTCCTCCTCCTCCTCCTCCTCCTCCTCCTCCTCCTCTCCTCCTCCTCCTCGCCTCCTCCTCCTCCCTCCTCCTCCTCCTCCTCCTCCTCCTCCTCCTCTCCTCCTCCTCCTCCTCCTCCTCCTCCTCCTCCTCCTCCTCCTCCTCCTCCTCCCCCTCCTCCTCCTCCTCCTCCTCCTCCTCTCCTCCTCCTCCTCCTCCTCCTCCTCCTCCTCCTCCTCCTCCTCCTCCTCCTCCCCTCCTCCTCCTCCTCCTCTTCCTCATCCTCCCCCTCCTCCTCCTCCCCTCCTCCTCCTCCTCCTCCTTCCCTCCTCCTCCTCCTCCCCTCCTCCTCCTCCTCCTCCTCCTCCTCCGTCCTCCTCCTCCCCCTCCTCCTCCCCCTCCTCCTCCTCCTCCGCTCTCCTCCTCCTCCTCCTCCTCCTCCTCCTCCTCATCCCCCTCCTCCTCCTCCCCTCCTCCCCTCCTCCTCCTCCTCCTCCTCCTCCTCCTCCTCCTCCTCCTCCCTCCTCCTCCTCCTCCTCCTCCTCCTCCTCCCCTCTCCTCTCCTTCTCCCCCTCCTCCTCCTCCTCCTCCTCCTCCTCCTCCTCCTCCTCCTCCTCCTCCTCCTCCATCCTCCTCCCTCCTCCTCCTCTCCTCCTCCTCCTCCTCCTCCCCTCCCCCCCTCCTCTCCTCCTCCGCCTCCTCCTCCTCCTCCTATCCTCCTCCTCACTCCTCCGCTCCTCCTCCTCCTCCTCCTCCTCCTCCTCCTCTCCTCCTCCTCCTCCTCCTCCTCCTCCTCCTCCTCCTCCTTCCTCCTCCTCCCCCTCCTCCCCCCTCCTCCCTCCTCCTCCTCCTCCTCCTCCTCCTCCTCCTCCTCCTCCTCCTCCTCCTCCTAGCCGTTTTGGCCCCGTCCCCCTGCGGCGCTGAGAGGGCGCGGTGGGGTGTTCTGGGCCACCGACTATCTCCACGCGATATCGGCTGGGATCTGACGTCCTGAGTTCAGGAGTGACGATTGCAAAAAGTCGGTGAAATGGGAAAAGGGAAGAAGGCGCGTGACGCTCGGAAGGCTCAGCAGCTGGGCCCTACCGATCCATGGCCGCCTTTGCCAGTGGGCCTCCAAGGTGCCAGGCCGCAGGCGCCGCCGACCAGTCCGTTCTACGGGCTGCCGCCATGGCCTGGGCCGCCGAGCCAGCCCACGTGGCCGCTCTGGAGCTCGCCGCCGCCGCCCCCGCCAGGCGGTCGCAGGCCCGCCAAAGGAGCTGGAAAAGGGAAAGGTGATGATCGAAAGGTGAAGTGCAGTCAATGCCCGCGGTGGGCATGGGTGTCCAAGCTCGAGCAGTATGGGAATACATGCCTGTGCGGGTCGCCCTTCACGAACGAGGCCCCTCCACCAGTGGCACCACCTGATGGCGGCGGGAAGGCAAGCGCCATCGGGTCGGCCATGAGGGGTCAGTTGCAGGAGCTCATCAGGTCGCAGCCCGGCAGCGTGCAGGCCAAGGCAGCGCAGAGTCTCCTGGATGCGGCCAAGGAGGAGCCGCCAACCAGAGGGACGGGCGGTCCTCCTGTCACCCAGCGCGTCACGGAGGTGACGGCGCGGGTCCAGAGGGCCCAGACGTACTTCGACAAGATTCGGACGCAGCAGGTGCGCCTCACGATGGAGCTCGAGAAATGCAAGGGGTCGCTCGCGGAGGCGGCCAAGGCGCTTGCGTTGGCGGAGAAGGAGCGGGCCGAGGTCTTCCAGAAGGTGATGCCCGCGCCTGCGCCGACGCCTGCGGCAGGGATCGACCTGAGCTCCCTCCTGGGCGCCGACGAGAAGGAGATTTCCGAGTCCATGTTCACTGTCAACTTGGGCCCCGAGTTCGACAACTCTGACGGGGTGATGGACGAGAATGACCTCAAGGAGATCGAGCGGCGCAAGAAGCTGGTCATGAGTGCTCTTGTCGGTGCGATCAAGACCACCTTCGGCGACTTGCAGGATACGCTGAGGCAGCATCGCGAGTCATTGGGCGCCATGAAGGAGAAGGTCTCCAAGAAGAGACGGCACACGTCTCCGACGCCTGGAGCCCAAGGCGAGGCCCAGGCGGGAGATGCTGCTGGTGTCGGCACGGGGGCGCCTGCGGAGGCGGGCGCGGCGGCCCCAGCCGCGGCGGCTGCTGCTGCGGAGGTGGCCGAGGCCACGAGCCTGGCTGCGGGCGCTGGCGCGGCATCGAAGCCCGACGACGCGGAGGCTGCGAGGCTGGAGGCTGTCAAGACGAGGCTCGCGGCGGAGGCCGACACGATGCTCAGTGATGCCAGGGCGTCTGCGGCAAAAGGGTCAAGCCTTTAGCCTGCAGGGCCCCCCTGACCTCGGCGGGCCATCCAAGGATGGAGGTTGGGGGGCTGAGCCGCTCCCGCCGAGTACCTGTTCAAGATCGGCCTCTTCAACAGCTACGGCTTCTGCGGGCCTTGCTGGCAGCGGCGCTGGCGCTGGAGCTGTCGCGGCGGCGGCGGCTGCCCACTGCCCAGGCCGCGCGTCCCCTGCCACGGCCATGTTCTCCCGCTCCCCATCGGTCGGGGACGTTAAAGCTCTGGGCTTCGGCCTTGCGCCTTTGGGGCGGGACGAGAGTGACGTGGTGGGGGAACTCGTTGGCGGCCTGGGCTCGGCGGCGGCGCGTGCGGACGCTGGCCTCAGGAGGCTGTATGTACGCAACTTGGGGGGCTGGGGACCAGCTGCGAAGTCCCTTGCCCAGCAGCATCGTGCGGACATCATTGTGGTTCCTGAGACTCATGTGGGGCCTGCAGGCTCGAATGATGTCCTTCATGATTGGCGGAAATCGGGATACACGGGCGTGCTCTCGGCGGCCTATTCGACGGCTACGCGAGAGAAGTCAGGCGGTATCACGATGGGTGTGCGCAAGCGTTTTCGAGTTTCATCTCTCCGCCATTTGGCTGCGGCGCCTCAGGATCAGGTCGGCCTCAGGCAGCTAGACCAGTCGGAGCAGCCAGGCCTGGATTTTCGTGACATGGTGGCTGTGCAGCTTCGAGCCCAGCATCAATCCCTGCTGGTCGTGGGCGTGTACATGACCACGGCGGTGGGCGCTCGGGGCAACGCTCAGAAGTTAGCCAATCTCGGGGCGTTGCTGGCGACGATACAGGGCATGTGGCTTGTCGTCGGAGATTGGAATATGACGCCGCAGGAGTTGTCCGCATCAGGGTGGCTCGAGCTATCGCAGGGGGTCGTCGCGGTGCCGAGCAACACGTCTTACACGTGCACGGCGGGCACGGGGCGCATGTTGGATTACCTTGTTATGTCTGCGTCGGCCCAGCACCTGCTCGCCTCCATTGAGGCGGACTTTGACACGGTCGAAGAGGCAGGCAAGTCGCACTACGGATTGGACATCTCGCTGGATTTTGATATATCGAGAGCTATGGCATGGACCCTTCGGCGTCCTCGGGCTTTTGACCATCCTGCGCGCCCAAGAAAGCAGCCAGACCCTGACAGCAAGAGGTCTAAGAAGCGGGCAGCTCGCTTGGGACACCAGGATGCCGAGGCGAACCCAGTCAAGGTGCCCACTCCTGCTGCTTGGGGGGCCAAGCGCAAGCTTTCCATCAAGAGCCCGCCCGTTCTGCAGTATGTTCATCTGGAGTTTGAGGAAGAAGATTTCTGGACCGACAATGAAGAAGACGACACTGAGGCCCCGCCTGACGATGCCCCAACTTTGGAGGAGATCGAGGAGGTGCCCGAGGTCGAGGACTCCACCAATGCCAGTTTGCAGCGTGATTGGACTTGTTTGGCGAAGGATTTGTTGTGGCACAGTCTATCGGAGCAGGTGGCACGAAGATCGGAGCCTCCAGCTTTTGTCGAACAGAGCCTCGGTTTCCAGGCCGACCCTGCTGCTGCCCGTCGTCTTGGCGAGGCTTTCGCTGAGTGGTCGCACACCATGGAGTTGTACTATTGTGAGTTGTATCAGGTGCACCCTCAGGAGCGTCGCCAGTATATGGGCAGGGGGAAGCTGCAGGAGCCAGTCAAGCAACCAATGGATGGTGGTAAGCCGTGGCCCACTACGTCTGACGCCAGCTCGCGTTGGTGGTCTACTGTTGCCAGCCACCTGAACGAGCTTGCCCACGTCAGAGCTGGGTCAGAAGGCCTGCCTCGAGCGCAGCATCTAAGAGGACGGCTCTCGGCTTTGGCCTCGTCCATCCCTGTTTGTCAGATCGTTCCGCTACCTGAGCGTAGGCGCGCCAGGTGGGTTCGCTCGCTTCGCACTCTGTCGGGCATCACGAGCGAGTCCTTGGCCAAGTTGGCGGAGGCGGCAAGCAGAGCCGCTCATCAGGCGCAGCGCGCGGTGGCCAGGCAGCGTCTGCAGGGCTACCGCGACTGGGTCTGCCAGCACGCGATCAACGGCATGGGGGTCCTCCACCGCCTCGTGAAGGACCCGATGGCGGAGGTCAGTGAGATTCGCTATGTGGAGGTCACTACTTGCGACGGTGCCTCGCTCATGGAGGCGAAGCGGGCGGTCTGGGACAAGCTATGGACGCCGCCGAACTTCAGCAGCACCAACGCCATGAAGGTGCTCCAGGAGGCTCGCGACCTGGCGAGGGAGGAGGAATTGCCTCCTCTGACGCTGGACGGCCTCGAGGCGGCATTGCTCGCAGTCTCGCAGTCCAAGGCGGCAGGCATCGATGGTGTTCGCCAACGGGATGTTTGGTGGCTGCCTGAGGCGGGCCGCCAGCAGCTGCTGGCTCTTTTTCAGCAGATCGAGTGTGCCGTGGCTTGGCCATGGCAGTGGCTCACAGCCATCATTGTTCTGTTGCGAAAGCCTGATGTGCGCAAGGACCGCGCCATCGGCCTTCTCACCTGGCTGGGTCGACTGTGGAGCCGTATGCGATCTCGTCCCGCGGAGGTCTGGGCCGAGGCTCGCTCGGGTCCCTGGGACGCCGCGGTTCGAGGGAACAGTGCTCTACGGGAGGCTTTGCTCAGGTGCTATGCTGACGAGGCTGCTCTGTCGTCGGTGTTGCCTGAGTATTGCTCTGCGTCCAATCTGTGGGACGTCGAAGCTTTTTATGATACGATTCGCTGGGAAAAGGTGGTGGCCCATGCCCTCCATTTAGACTTCCCTGCTTTGTGCCTCTCTTTGGAAGCTCTCCTGCACATGGGCCCTCGGATTTTGAAAGATGCTGGATGCGTGGCGCCTCCAATCATCCCGTCAGGGGGCCTGGTTGCAGGAGCCAGGCGTGCGCCTGATTTCGCTAAGTGTCAGATGTTTTCGATCTGTGAAAAGTCGGTCGATTCGAGTTCGCTGGTACAGTTGCGGACTTGGATTGACGACGTTACCCAGAGAGCGGAGGGGATTCGCCGCGATGTTGTGGGTCACCTCGTGCGTGCGGGAATCACCTTTGCTCGAGGGTGTGCTCAGGAAGGTCTCAAGCTGGCTTCTAAATCCACCATCATTGCGTCTGATCTTGCAGTTGCTCGCGAGATCCAGGCAGGCTTAGGCGCGCAGGGAATCGTCGTTGAGGTCGCGTCGGTCGCCGCCGATTTGGGCATCGAGCGCGGGAGTGGAGCGAAGATTT